CTTTTTCCTTTAGTATAGGTCCACTAACACTAATGTTTTTACATATTTCTACACTGTCTAAACCATGTAAACAAGAAGCATTTTTCTCAATTAGGAAATTCAGCAATTCTTCGTCTTTTACGTAGAAGACTTTCTCCCGATTCAAACCACTTTTCACTGCTTACTGAGATGCGATGCCCAAATTATTCGTTTAAGTTATAGAGGGTTTTTATTTTAAGTAATAGAGGTTTTGGACTCCGAGGGGAAGGGAACACAAAATTTTATGAATTTATAGGGGTTATTACGTTATCGAGGTTCAAGTGTATAACAACTAAGGGGACTCCACTTCTTATACTTAACCCAAAGATTGCTTTAAATGTGACGTTTAGGTAAGTACTTTATCGTAATATGATAAATCATCATTATAAGGTCATCAGTCTTAAGACTGGTTGGACACGTACCTCCACTCTTTCCTATCCTGAGCTAAACTTCGCATTTCCCTAAAACTAGAACAGCCCACATCCTTAACTATTTGCGAAGAGTAATCTAATCTAGGTCTACCTCTACCCCTCCTAACTCCTGTTTCTGCCTCTAATATGTCTCTGACTAGACCTTCATGCCTGAGAAGGTGTCCTACCAACCTATCTCGCCTATTTTTTATTGACTTCCATAGAGTCCTCTGTTCTCCTATTCTTTCCAATACCTCTTCATTTCTAACCTTTTCTACCCACGATATCCTCATCATCCGCCTATAACACCACATTTCGAACGCTTCTAACCTTTTCTTTTCCGCCGCTCCCACTGTCCATGTTTCGCACCCGTACAACGATGAATGATTAATTAATAAAAAAAAAATTTGAAGCAATGTTACCTCTCCCAAATGTACGTGACCCAGGCGCCGTGTATTCTAACTTCAAATAGAATTTGACGTAAGCTTATTTCAATATAGAGGACGTACCACTGTTACATTTGTTGTTGTTATTATTATTGTTACCTACATATACGTGTGTTAAAAGCATAAGTATTTACATGTAATGATTATGTGCGTAATGTACCTATCTGATTGTTCGTTGTGTTCTGTGGCCAGTATCCACATGAGTATCAATGTCATTTTAAAAAAAGCGCAAACTATTTGGAACTGCGTTTCGTTTGTTACTCATTTTGTTTGGCACTCAGTCTTTGGCTCGAACGCTATTTGTTATACGAGGGTATTGGACCTGTTACACAATAAAAATTGCAAGAAAGATGTATTTTAGTTGTTGTGAGAACTGATGATTGTGAATTTGACCCTGTTAAATTTTTTCCAAGTAATGAATTTTCCTTGTTCTCAAATATATATAAACAAAATTGATCTATAGAGATCAGTTTCAAAACTTTTAATTAAGATTCTTTTAGTATCTTACCGAATTTGATTTCAATTCTTTTGGTTGTAATTCTTTGGTGGTGTACTTAGTGTTATTATCATTTCTAAAAGTAGGGTAATGTTGTTGTTTTTTCTTTCGCGTTTTAGTGATGGTATTTCGTGTATTTTTCTTTACAAATTGCTGATGAACACACAATTTCCTTTGGAATTTTCTGTTATCTAATAATAATTGCTTAACTGCTGTAATTATAAATTTATCAGCTAAAAACTGTGTGGTATATAAGAATCAGGTATTATCCTTAATATTGATGTATGTTCTCAATTAATTCTAAAGTACCTTTAGTCTTCATTTTTTGTTCTTGTTACATAATAAATATATGTAATTTTAAAGGTGACTTTGGGAAAATGACCGGTTTAATGTTTAAGTGTTTTGCGCCTTGAAAATTTTTTAAACAAATATACAAACATATTTAAAGTAAAGAGAAATGATAGGTATCGTACACGTTTGTTTAAAAGTACAAATAAGTATGAGGTAACTTCTTTAAAATCCATCCGAAAATAGAAATAGAAGTTTATTAATGATAATTACTACCTATGTCGCGTGTATCATTAATTGATCATATAATCTACATTTACATTATCATATTTATAGGAGTATGTGTATGTTGCAGTATGAAGTATCATATTTTAAATCGAATTCTAGCTCAAGGCTCGCACTTACTCATTTTCTTATAATAACTTTTCATTTTCTTGGTGTAAGCTAAATGAAATTGTGAATTGAGAAGTTAAAGAAAATAATAATTTAACTATCAATTTGTTTTTTCGTGATCAGTTGTAGGTAATTGTTATTAGCGAATTGTAAATTTACAAATTTGTGTTTATACAGTTTGTTTTCCACATGAAGAAAGGTGTGTATTTCTTGGGAATATAAACAAAGTATACATATAAACAACTATCAGTTTACCTGTATTTATAGTAAAGTATTGGATATTACCAGTATGTATAATGAAGTATGTTTTACTTTTACAGCATATTAGATACCGTTTGACTTTTAATTAAAATTACAACTATCTAGATACGTGTTTGTTATTACGTAAAACTATTTTCTATTACTAGGCCTTCAATTAGACTTTTATGATTCGATATATTTCTTGCTGATAACAAATTCGTACTTGATAAATTTTCGCAGAATTTATATATTTTTTCATAATTAGACGTTTCACCTTTTTATTAGCCATTATATAAGGGCAGATTTTTGATATGAAGAAAGGGGGTAACTTATTTGAAATAAAATTGCAGTGAAAATTTAACTGGGTATAATTTTTTTAACATAATACGTAGTTCTTGAAGTCGATGCTAAGTCTTTAGGTCAAAAATGGAACTAATGACGAATGTTATTTAAGAATCTTTTACCTTTGTTGAAATAGATTACATAAAATGAAAAGATGCTCATGGATGGTATCATGGTTTTCTTCAAAAACTACTGATCAATGATGGATATTCTCGCTTTTCCACTTAAAATGAAACCTGCTTCTCCATCAAGTAACTGTTGAATTTTTCAGACACTTCGTCACGCGTTTGACTTCTATGTAAAAGGAATTCTGAAAGAATTTGTTTTTACAGAATTCCTTTCACTAATAATAATTATTTACAATTAAGTGAATTATAGAAGACATGTTTTTGTTAGCTGTGGAATTATATTGTGTTCTTCTTATGATTTCACAATGGTTTGAATGGTCTGTTTTACTATATAAATAGGAAACTCGCAGTTTTTATGAAAAATAACTTTGCTTTTTACGCCAAATTTTTCTAATTCAATAGGAAATTGCGGTATGAAACGTAAAAACGTTAATGTTAAGTCAGATTGTTGGTTTTTCTATTGTACTTATGGATTGGATTTCTGATTGGAGCAACTAAGTTTAGTTCAGAGTTTTTAAAATTTCAAATTTTCTGTATGCCTTTGATACCTTGCAATATTATTCCTCTTGTTTATCGTGGTGATTTTCCTGCCTGTCTTTAAAATCTCAAATTTTGATATTGTTTTTACTGTTATTTTGGGCATTCAGCCCTGACTGGTTATAAGCTATGTCTTAAAATTATCTTGAATTGTGGCAGAAAGAATGGTTACTTTTTGTGAAACAGATTTTTGTATATAACTCTAGAATCACTAGAGATTAGACAAAATTTGTTAGGAGTTCACTGTTGTTAAGAAAAACTTGCGAGAGAGACATAGAAACAGGGTTGGATTCAAATTTGTGATTTCTTGGCTTAGTTATGATATCATATTTTCTTCCTATTATTACATATCACATTTTTTTTTGTAAAATTCCGCACCTCTCTTTCAGCATTCCTTAATCGTGAAAGGTTACTGCACCAATCCAATTACACGGTAAAATGTAACGATTTTGACCTTTCTATTATATATTGTGTACAGTACAGTTTGTTGCTGTTTGCAGTTGCAGGTGGAGATTAATATCAGATGAAAACGCGAATAATAAAATAGTTTCGTATTGTGTAGGAAATGACGCGTTATGGCGTTTCCTTTAAGGATTCTCTCTATTGTTTTTACCAACTATATTTCGTAAAGGACTTTACATATGCACCTGTTGTACATGTGCACGATACGGTTTGCCGAGTTGGGCAGTGAAAGTGCGAATAAATGAATGAATGTGTAAGAACTTGCGTTACCACAGATAGGAAAAGATAATAATGATTATGTGATAAAAATGCGGCTTCTGACCTTTGTCAATGCATCCGGAATATTTGTTTAAGTTTCTTTTCGTCATTTTGAAAATATGTATTTGTCTGATAAGAATATTTGGTAAATATTATAGAATATTTTTTTAAAAAGTATTTTAAACTGTACAGACTTAAAAATAAATATATGTACTTACGCGTTCTTATTACAAATTTTTATCGGAAGCTTTCGGGGTACAATTATCCATTAAGGACCAAAAGAACGAAAGACTACTATTTAAGTTTGGCATAAAACCGGTCGGCAGAAATTTGAACTATTTAATCATTTCACTAAACGCATATTGTGAAGTGTGTTGTTTTGCGAATTGTAATTGTTACTGTGTAACGTATTATTGAGCATGCATGATTTTCATTTCGTGCGAAATCAAAATGCAGGATGTTTTGCGCTGCGAAAGGCTATACAAGTCGTTTAATAAAGACTTAGATACCATTTTTCAAACTTTTCCTACTGAGAAACGGTTTTTTGTGTGTTTATGAACATAAATTTGAAGATTGATGAAGTTCAAGTTTGGAATAGAGTCTTACTTAAATGTAGAACGACAATGAAAAAAGCATGGAACCGTCTAATTTGATAAGCGGGTAGTAAAACGATTGAATTTTGTATACGTCTACTGTAATCGTTGTTTTAAACTATAGTAAGAGCTAGTACTGTAATACTACCGCAAACGAAATTAAATTTTAACAGTTTATTATTTTTCCACGTTTCGTACTACTAGTAATTATGTTTATTGCTGTAACTAGAACAATAATAATGCGGCGGTTTTTGTTTTTCATTTTCCCATTGTGTGTAGAATCGATCGATTTTATGAACAGTTGTAATATAAGAGAAGTATAAGTGGAAATGTGTGTTTCTCATTGCTGCCGATAATAACGTTTAATACGGTTTTGTTTTTCTTTACAGAGGTCTGCAGTGGGGAAACAGTTCCAGAAGTTGAAATCATTAGCTTACTCGAGGAACAAATCCCCAGGTATAAGCTGCGTGCGGACACCCTCACAAAATTTGGCGGTAAGTAAACTTTTGTTTCACTTAGTAAAATATAAATATGTAATTTCATTGATAACCGATTCATTCACAAAAATAGTAAAATAGTATTGGCTTTGGTCTTTGGCGGATACCTATGAATAAAAACCAAAAACCGACAGCTTCTATTATATTCGTTTACAAAATTTTTCATATTTATTTGAGATTTTTCGGTTAGTAAATTTCAGAGATGTGGAGTGATGCTATATAGGTATTCACCGAATACAGAAATTCGATATTTGTCGCTATCATTTTATTTCTTTCACTAGCGAAAATGCATAATTTATGGACTTATACTAATTTCCATTTGAGCTTCTTGTAAACAATCCTGTAACAATCATCCCAAACGATATAGGATTAGGAATCTTTTCTTTTCAAGTCAGGTAAAATACTGCTATCAAAATTAATTAAAGATTTTGTATGCAGTTTGTACTACACGAAATAGTTAGATTTGATCTGCTTATTGATCCGAGTCATTTCTTTTTCTGCATAATTACTTGGCGAAATTGAATGAACAATTTTACGAGTAACTAATAACATCAAGTACCTATATTGTTTGTTTTGGTTTGAGTTGCGAAAGAATTGCCACGCAGTAGAGTGGAAAGATTTTTTCGTTCAGCTTGGTGCTGACTTTGCCTTTGTTTTCTCCGGCGTCGGCATGCAGATGAATTATCGCGATAAAAAATAATGTAATTGGTACAACCAACAGTCATTGTGGGAAATTTTAATTGTGTAGTTGTAGACAAGATCTTTGTAATGATGCGATTCATGACGAAAATCACGAAGGCGTTTTCATCGATAATAAGTGATTGGTAAGGTAGTTATTAAGTAAAACAATTTTGCTTGGATTAGGTCATTAGGTTAAAAGAAAGGCACCACAGCAATAGAAGCAACAAAAATTACTTTAATTTAACGTGCATATTAATGAACGAGGAATTGATGAACTAGTTCACCACTTCATCAGAGTAGCAATAATTTAAACACTTCTGCATCGGTTTCTAGCAATTCAAAATCAGTGCTCTGAATCTTTAAATTTTATTTTTTTCCATATCTAATGTAAATAACAAGCGTACCTTTCGAAAGAATTTTTGAAACTGCATTTCGTAACGAAGAAAAAAACCGCATATAGTCAAAGGAAACGCAATGAGGCAAATAATTTGTTTTATTTCTAATTCAATTTCGAATTTTTGTGTATTGTGGTTGTAACCGCAACTCTAACCGTGAAAATTCCGTTTAAATCTTTAAATGACGAAGTAAAAACCACTAGTGGCTTTGTTTTCCACATATTAAATTTTGTGGGCGTAAAATTGTGCCATTTAGAAATTAATTAATATTGATGTACTTTGATGGTTGAGTATCTACAATTGTTGAGATAGCGGCAGTTACCAGAAAGAGAACAATATGTGAAGTTATCCTATAAAATTTTATAAATTTTTGCGCATGGTAGGGGTGCAGGAGGACAGGAGGGGGTGGAAAAGTTGCCAAAATGAAATTAAAAATAGTTTTTCATTAATTATGTATTATGTAGGTTTTATTCTATGGAATAAGGTAAAAAATTGATTTTTTTAAACCACCTTACATAAAATAAGTTAATTTCCAATATTTCCATAATCAAACTTTTAACGATCAATATATTGAGTGAATTTTCTCATGTGAAAAAAAAACATTTTATTAAAGAAATACTCCAATGTTGCACCCTTTGATTAAGGATTTTTTAAGGACTAAGGATAATCAGATATGACGC